AGAAGGAAAGAAAAACGAAGATCAAAGAAATTAAGAAGCAGATAGCGAGAAACGAGACAAAAGGGAAATAACTCTCATCAAGGGAAAGTGAATTTGTTTAAAGGAATGCGTATTTCACAACTAACTGTTGAATATAAAATGTTTATGAACAGGCTGAATGAGAAAAAAGAAAAGAGAATTGGGAATTTTTTTTTCATTAAGATTAAGCAGTGGTTAAAAAAAATAAATAGCAGTTCTTTAGGGAGTGAACTAAAGTAACGTGAAATAAAAATGGAAAAGGGAAACCTGTATAAAACAAAATGAAGAAAATCGTTTTAAAAATATATGTATAAACAACTCTTTATTATACCATGAAATATATATAGAAACAACTCTTTATTATACAATGAAACACTGGAAAAAAGTAACAAATTTAAAATAAACACGCGAAGCCTGTAATGACAAAGGGTTCCATAGAACGGAGATAAAAAATGAATATTTCTCGGGCTCTCCGTTGGATACGATTGATAATATCACACATGGAATATCATATAGAATTAGCATAAGATAATTTATGACACATATATCATATTTCAGAGACGTAACGCAGTCTAACACACAGTGTGTCACATAGGATTAAGACAGATTACTTTATCACATACTGGCTTAGCATCTCACCTCATAGGGTCTTCTTTCAGATAAACCATATGGCTTTCTCTTCTCTAGGTCAACTGATGATGTACTAACAGTTATTGCTGAAAGAATCTATCAAGCTTTCGATAAGAATAGTGAAAGTCGGGCTGTTGCTTTGAACACATCTCGAAGGCATTTGACAAGATTTAGGACATTGTCTTCTTCACAAGTTGAAAGGATTTCTGTATGAATTTTTTAAAACGCTTTCGGTCTTTCTTATAGAACTGCAATAATAGACATAAACGGCCACTCTTCTACACTTTTTTTACATTTTTACAGGCGTCCCCCAAGGCTCTATTCTTAGACCAAAGTTGTTTCAAATTTTCATCAACGACCTTCCTGATGGCATCAGTTCTCAACTTGTTATCTGTGCTGATGGCACAACTATTCCTGTTTCAGTAGTAAGTCTGAGCGTTTCGATAAGATCAAATTGACAGCTGATCTAAAAGTTATCTACTGCCTGTTGTTAACTGGGGCAAGGAATGGCTTGTTAATTTTAACGCTACTAAAACGAAGCTGCTTTCTTTTAATTTTCACCATGGCTGATGCCAACCTCCAGGAGAATGATTTATTGTGCATTCTCGGACTAACGTTTTCTGCTGATATGAAGTAGAAATATTATATTGAGACAATTGCTCGATCTGCTACTAGGAAAGTTGGTTCCCTGTGTCGAGTTAGACAATCTTTCCCTCCAGAATCTATCTTACATATTTATAAGTCTACCATTCGCCCATGTTTTGAATACTGCTTCCATATCTGATCTGGTGCCCTTGCTATGTATTTAGAGAATCTTGAAAAAATACAAAGGTACAAAGAACTGTCATCACACCTTCAGTCACTTTCCCATCGTCCGTAATATAACTCTCCTGTGACTTCTTCCATAAATACTTTCATGGTTATTGTTTTCATGAATTTGCCTCTTTGGTACCCAAACTTTATGAATTTAAGCGCAGTACTAGATTGGCGGAAAGGTCCCATCATTTTACAGTTGAAATGGCTAGATGTAACCGTATGTTCTTTGCTATTTTTTTTTCAATCGCACTTCTCGCTTGTAAAAATCTTTTGGCTTCGTGCTTCCCAGTCAAATTTGATCTTCAACAATTTAAATGCAATGAAAATCTTTATCTATTGTTTTCTTAATCCTTGTTCTTTTATTGTTCTCTCTCCTTAATATTTTTCTCATATTCTGTAACACTCATTAACACATTGCGTCTTAGTGGCTTTATTACCTTGCTTGGGGGTGAAATGATTAAAAGAATTCAATAAGAATTCATAAGAATTTGTACTGATGTTGTTTTAATGGTTGTTTTAATTCTTATGCTTTGGTCAAATAAATATTCGTAAATAAGAAAGACATGTCAATGCAACTAAACTAGTAGAATTGATAAAATACTTAATAATATTATAAAATAACGTATTTATTAATCTTTTCTTATTAATTTTACGTTTTTCCTTTCTTTTTTGCTCTTTCCTTTTTGCTTATTTTTAGAGTTGCATAAACCACACTAACGTCAGTAGTGAAGTTATTTCCGATTTTGACAAATTTAAGTTCAGTTTCTTATAAACAAAACACTATATCCTAAGTGCCTCTGTTGGAAGCCGATACTAATATTTTTTTAAAAACAATCCAATCTTTTCCATCTAATAATATAATAATAATAATTTTTACAGCGATACACAGCAGATTTTTTGTGGTTGCCATTTCGAGTGTTGTCAAACATATGGATTATAGAAAGCAGTAACTTTTGTGATTTCTTGAAATGTAATCATCATCATTATAATCATCATCATCATCATCATCTTCTTCTTCTTCTTCTTCTTCTTCTTCTTCTTCTTCTTCTTCTTTATTCCGTGTCTCTTCAAGGCATGAACGATCATGCCTCTCCAAAACTTTCCAGGTCTTGTGGCAGTTTTCTCTCTTTACTAAACCTTTCGCCCTATTCCGCCAACCATTGCTACAATTTCGTCTCTCCTGCTCTCAATATGCCCTGTAAGCGTTAGATTTTCCAAGTCCTTTTTCCTCATTATGTGTCGAAAAAAATTCAGGTGTCTCTTCCAGAATAGAACTGTTCTTTTTGTTTTCACTTTCTTTAAGACGCCCTAGTTGCTTACTGGCGCCGTCCACGGAATTCTCAGTATCCTGCTGTAGAACCACATTCCTTTTGCCTCCAGTTTTCTCTTCATCTGTGGGGAGATCGTTCAGTATTCACGGCCATATATGAGGATTGATATCACATAGAAGGAGACACGGTGGCGTAATTGATAGCGGCTCGGATTGAGGAATCGGAGAGCCGAGTTCGAATCCATTACATTCACTTACGTGCTAATACCCTTGGGAAAGGTAAGAATCCTCTTCTTCTGTCTCCAGCTATGGGTAAGTAGCAGGACAGACCGGTTTCTATAGTTTTAGATAGCCACTGGTCTACTAGTCAGTCATTTATCGAAAGATACATGATCGCCTTAGCGTGTATCACGCATGGCACATAACTGACTGATCACATGGAAATCTAGCACTATCTTATTTTGTTTCTAATGACACTTTCCTGTTTCTTAATATTTTGCTTAGCATCTCAAATGTATTATTTGCTCGACCAAAGCTTGCTTCGGATTTCAGTGTCACATTTTCTTTCCTCTGTTAAATCACTTCCCAGACATTTAAACTTATTTACTTGCTTGGAAATGTACTTAATAGGACATCAAATAGAGTAGTGTGTAGGATTAGTTTCCTGTTATGTTACGGTCAAAAGCTGAGCTCAACCTATACAAGAAATGCATAATAAATTATTGATTTCTTGACTGTTATAGTGGAACACACCTATTCTATAGTTAATAGACTCTCCCACCATATAATAAGCAGGAGTAGTAAGAGTAATGAGGGGTCGCTTAGTGGGGTCGGTCAGTCAGTCGATGCCGGACGACTGTTAGTCGGATACTAAAGTATCAGCGACCACAACTAGATTACTCTGCGTCATTACTTATTATATGAAGTTCCTAACGTTTTGTACGTCGAATCTGTTTTAGGACCGACTTAGTACAAATACAAGCCTCCACTGTGAAATCACTCCATAACATTGACACAAATCAACAGTTGATCTCTATGCGGAATCGAGGATAACTTTTAGAGAAAATGGAATAAAAAAGGAAGTTCCAGTACACATAATGAAGAAAGAGGGTTTGGAAAATCTGATACTCACAGGACAGATTGAAGGGAAGAGAGATAGAGAAAAAACAACACATAACATACTTAGCGAGCTTTAGTAAATAAATGGCGGAACAAGGTTTAGGAGAAATAACGAAAAAAAAAAGACAAAATTTATTAAATAAATTTATTAAATTTATTTGCACGCTCCGGCCTTCTGCACATGGCGCAGTGGATATAGGCGTTAGTTAGATCCAGTGACAGGACCCAAAAGTGTGAGTTGTTAAGGCGGTGGAGAACTTGGAGAGGGGAATTAACAGGAGATAACTGATAATTGACATCCATTAGACATGGCACGTGCAAATAGAACAGTCTACCCCAGTGAGCGAAATAAAGGGTTCAGTTCGACATTCCAACGAGCTAAAGAAGGCTGGAGGGTACAACAGCCGAAATGTTGTGAAAAATATGACAAAAAAGATAGTCCGAATAATGTAAATAGTGAACGAAAAAAAAAAGATAAAATTTATTAAGAAGGATAGGAAATTGTGGAGAGACATGATCACCTACGTCCTGAAGGGACACGGCACATGAAAAGGATAAGTCTCATTAAACTAACATCTGAAAACGGGAGGCGAATACTGAATTTCGAAGCAAGAACAACTCCTACGGAAGATCTACGCTCCAAAATTACCTGTAAAAAAAAGAGATATCTATATTTGCACGCCAACTGTAGATTTCCTGTCAGGAATCTTTTTTGTCTTCTCACCTATGCGAAGATTCTTAAGAAGGAAGAACAACGTCGAACTTTTCAGAGCGTTGCGAAGTAACAACGTAATGGGGAAGAGGCAGTCGAGACGCGGGAAGAGAATTAACGGAATGAATGAAGACAAAACAAAAAGAGCAGACACCACGGAAACGCGGCATTCGTCTAGAAGGGAGGTGGGGAAAATGAGAATGGAAAAGGTCAATAGCACTTAAAGTGGCCAAGTGAGAATATGGAACCGACATACGTGGGTAATATTTAGATGTTCTAGTATTAAACCTTAGTAATATATATTTGTATAGTTGCATACTTACTAAATATCACTGATGATGTGACGTCAAATATAGTCTGGCCTCCAAAAATACGAAAGCATATTTCTCTTATTTTAAACCCAACACATGCTGATGATAAATTACACTGCGGATTACGGCTACATCATGCTGAAACACAAGTTCCCGTAAGATTACTGTAGTTAAGCAACGTCGAAGTTGGTCAGTACTTCGATGGGTGACTACTTGGGAATACCAGATGCTGTAAGCTTGGATGTGCGGGTGGTGTAATGGATAATGATTCAGAATTGTTAATTGGAGAGTCACGTTCCAATTCTAGTTGATTTCGTTATATTTCACTTACGCACAAATAACCCTGGAAAACGAATGAATCCACCTTCTCTCCCCCAGCTATGGGTTAATTAGTATGACTTGTATTACTCAATCCTTATGATCTCAAAAAAAAATTACAGTCTAAAAAAAGATTTTTCCTGGGTTTAAATAACCTGCAAAGAGTTAATAAGTCAAAGAAACAATCAATCATTAAATATTACCCTGTCTCACTCTATAAATCATTTCTTGTTACGTTGATGTATAAAATACTTATTCGAATCTATAGGTTCATTTATTGAATTACGAAGCGGGAGATTCCGCCAGGATTTATTATCTTAACATAAAATACGAAGATGAAGTCGCAGAGGGGAAAAAATCTACAGGAATCCCTAGAGAGGAAAGTGGAAAGAAAGGACTAACCATCAATTGTAAGAAGACACAATGTTGGGTTGCCAGCAAGTGGAACGGGCAGAGATGCGAATTACGAAGTAGAGATGTCGAAATCAAGTACAGAAGTTCAATTATCTAGAAAAAGAAAATGGAAATATGTGACGTCGAAATTCGAAGGGAAATTTTAACAGCAAATGTTGTTTTCCAAAAACGAAAAAAAAAAAAAAAAAACAGTGCTAAACTGTTATGTAATACCAATCTTCCTGTACGGATGGCGAGAATATCTGAGGCAACAGAGACATGGGTTGTCAAAAGAATATCTTGGATGGACTATGTTGGCAGTGAGGAATTTTAAATAAAATGGAATGAAAAAGGACAATTATACATAAATATCAGAAACAGACAGTTGTGTTTTTTTTGGGGGGGAGGGTCATATAATGAAGAAAAAAGGCTTTGAAAATTTGACACATACTCGATCGATTTCTGGAGAAATAAAAGAGTTTTTGTTTATTTCTTTGTTCCACACACACACACACACACACATATACATACATATATATATATATATATATATATATATATATATATATATATATATATATATATATATATATATATATATATATATCGAAGACGACAATTAACTTTGCATATATGGGATTCGAAGCCTCCAAGATTGTGAGGTTGTGCATTTCACAAAAAGGTAATAAAACCTTCCCTTGCTGTCAATTTTTCCTTGTTGAACGGTCTGGTTCGAATGTGGTTTCCCCAATTTAAGGCACTCTTGAAAGACATTACTGCTTTACTAAGACGGTTGATTTTCCAGTCCGGTAGATGAGAATTACACACACACACAAACAGACACACACACACACACAAACACACACGCGCGCGCACACACACACAGACACACACATACATGCACACATAATCATCGAAAATTCTATCTCGGAAATGTTTAACATGACGTCTATGAAACGTGTGTGAGTATTACTCCTCTAACTAGCGTTCTATTTAGGAGTACAAAAGGAGCGAGCAGTCAGTCTGCTGCTCTTTTTTTTGGTGTTGTGATGAAACGAGAACATCGGGATTTATCTCCACCGGGAAAATTTTGCTTCTGACAAATCGACTACTTAATTTCAGGCAAACTACATGCATCACACACTCGTAGTACATAAATGTTTCTTCGTTTTTATTAAGTATTTGTACACACTTAAATATAATTTCCACTTTCTCTTCTTTTGCAACCTATGTTCGTTTTGTTATATATATATATATATATATATATATATATATATATATATATATATAACTCCGCCAAGTGTTGAATTTATTTCTTGTGAAAAATGTTGAATTAATGTATTTTGAAATCTTCATTGTTACCAGCATTAAGTTGTGACTACTACCTTCGTCGATTAAAATTATGTTGCTCTTTTTCTTTAAAGATGTTCTCCTAAGGTTTGAAATACGAATACATGATTTATCGGAAGTAAAATTTTTATTTACGAAATTTCGCCCTCTTTCATTTAATGGAGTGTATCGACACAGAGTGTTATGGTAAAACAAATCAGCACTAATAAAAGGAGGCAAAACTAGTAACAATACATTTTCTGGTTTGCATTTTGAATTCATGAGTTCCAGACATTGTGCCTATATGTTTTGTTTAGGAAACTTCTTTTTGCGTAGGCACCAGAAGCCAAAGAGTTTAGCAAATTCCATTCTGATGAGAGATCTAAAGCAAAAGTATTGAAACTAAACTGTAGGGAAATTCTTAGCACAGGAAAATAAACTGCACGTATTGTAGCTACAATAATATTTAGAATGTTTTTGCTATGAAACACGGGAAGTTAATTTTGGGACAGCAAATGACTGCGAATCAAAAGTCAGGTCGAAACCTAATCAGTATGTGATAAAACTAAAAAGCATGCTAGATAGAAAGAGACAAACAAATTGACATGATATATTTCAAGATAGGTAAATTGAAATAATTCGTAGTAGTAGTAGTACCGCTGTTGTAGCGCATGCGTGTAAACGGAATGTTGAAGCAAATTTCGCCAAATTTAAGACACGAATTTAATTCCTCATAGAAAAAAGATTGATGGAAAATCATTTTTTTTTATTTTATTTTTTTTTTTTTTTGTTCTTTCTACTGCATGATTTCGTAAGATGTGCTGAATACTCGGTGAGACACAGGAAACAAAGAGAATGGACAACCTTTTCAAAATTCTCCAAAATTTTGAGTGTCCCCTCTTATCGTAAAAAATCAGAAAATCGAAACGTGTCTTTCACCTGTTTATCTGTCTTAGTATTTATCAGGATGGAAAGAAAGTCTATGTGGTTTCTAAATAAATTTGATTATTTAGCAAGCGTGAGAACATTCCTTCCAAACAGACACTTACAGGTCACTGAATTTCCGATTGTTCATCTTTGTTTATCCAATATGTCCCAATCTTTCTGAATCATTTCTTTCATATCTATCTATCTATCTATCTATCTATGTTCATATCTCTCTATCTATCTATCTATCTATCTATCTATCAGACATTCTTCATATTTACAGGATTCTTTAAAATCTACATATATGTTACTCTTTCTTCATATCTATCTATCTATCTATCTATCTATCTATCTGTCTGTCTGTATCAGACACTCTTCATATTTACCGGATTCTTTAATATCTACATATATGTTACTCTTTCTTCATATCTATCTATATACACAAACAGGCACACACAAACTCATACCCACATATATAGACATATATATTAAAACATGTATTGTTAAATATAACAGACAATGAATATCTATTATGTTTTATCAGGAGCCATTCCAAGCTTCATATCTTGTTTTTAATTTCAGAAGACAATAAATACAAAATCTGTCCAACGTTTGGATATTTCTTTATTGTGTTGCTCATCGACTTTTGGCTCACATGAGCCATCATCAGAGTGGTTATTAGGACTGTACGGCAGATATGTTCACCGTCAAAGATGGCATCTTTATTTGTTTACATAGATATTTAGTATACGACGATAACGGAATAAAAGAAAACAATCCACGCTCAATAAAATTGCATTTCAAACCAGTCATAACATATTACAATGCATTTAAACATGGTTCTGTTGATACATTTCTCTCCCACGTGGTCATATATGATGTCATAGATCAGCATTATAAATTTACGACTTGCGTCTGCAATTCCGTTTTAACTCTGTACCTCAAAATATTAACCGAATACATTTCGTTTCTATTGTTCATAATAAAGAAGAAAGAAAGAAGAAAGAAAGTAAAGTAAGTAAAAAAAAGAATGTAATAAAATTAACGTAGCTAGCCGGGCTTAGTAGGTCTAACTCTGATTGAAGCTGGAGATATACTTAATAAGCAATCTATTTCTTGATTTAATTTTATAAATAATGTTTTTTAAAAATCTCTAATGAGTTGTATATCCTGTTTTTCAAAGAGCACATTTTTATTTCAACTTATTTTTTTGAAATGTCAATTTTAAATAATTTATTCCGTATAGCATAAGGTTTTTTAGCGGAATGTATATTTTAAGAAAGGGAAAATTAAATTTAGCTCTACCGGCGATATTAAAGTGGTGGCTTTAACTCGTCCACTGGAGGCTTGGGTGAGGAGTGTAACTGGAATAGTGTTGAGGAAATATGATATAAGATAGCAGTACTGATCATAAACATACAACAATATCCACAGACATAGAGAGACATAAAAACAGAGAGATACACACACACTAACTCATAGACATATATACAAACACACGCACACATGTAAATACACACGTTTTATAATAACATATATGGCTTTGTCTTCACTCTTTTTTTCTTACATATCCGGGAAAAATTTATATTATCTATTTTCTTCGAATTATTACAATTAATATTAAATTACCAAAATGTTTTTTTTTAAACATAAATTTTAGTTAGAGTATTGGAATCATTTTAGCATCTAAGTTATACAAATATATATTTTGTTAAAGATTGTCATGAGACCGACAAACATTGATGATCTAGAGTCGCCACTGGTATATATATATATATATATATATATATATATATATATATATATATATATATATGGGTGGGTGGGTGTTTTAATAAGCTTACATGTTTCTTCACAACACAATTTTTTTTATTCTGTAGTTTGCGTTGTGTTACCAGTAAGGGAAACATGTATAATTATTTATATATACTTAATAGCTGTTATATTACATCGAGCACTATTGTCTTAACACCAGCCCACAATGAATGATACCTTATATGTGAGTGTATATATATATATATATATATATTAAAAATAAAATAAATTCCGTGAGTGTATTATGCAAGTAGGTCCTAGTAATATAAAATAGTAAAATTTATCCACGAAAAGAGAGCTCAATGTATTTTATCTGTGCATAACAAATTGATGAACAATCAAAAATAATTATTTCCCCCTTATGTAGGGAATAGGCTATTTCGGCAGATGATCACTTTTATCGTCTTTTTAACCCCGATATGAAATGGAATTCGCTCCATGGAGCTAGAGGAAG